TTTATTACAATCATCCATTAAAAGAGAAATATTTATTGAGAATATTTTTGAACCTACGTTGTATTTATTTTTTCATCTTCTCATTGAAACGATTTGATTGATTGAATCTAATTTTTGACTATCATATTCATCAAAAAAATTCATCTAACACTTGATCTATCATTTATTACAATTCATTAAAGTATTAGCATCTTAGCACTTAATTTGTTTGTATTATTTATCAAGAGAGGAATGAACATTGTAAAATCACTTTGATAAAGTGTGGGTCGTGTTGAAGTCTCGTAAAGATCAACATTGTATAAGGATCGGTGCTCCTTGTCGTAAGTCACCGTGTGGGTCATATTGAGGTCCCGTAAAGCTCAATAGTATGGGTCGTGTTGAAATCCCGTAAAGTTGAGCATTGCATAAGGATCGATACTCCTTATTTGTAAATCACCAGAAGCGTTGTAAAGGGTTGGATTGCACCATATGTTAATCAACATAGTAAAAATGTCTTACTCGTGCCGGAGAGCTTGGTAATGGAGGACGTAGATCATTGCTTTGGATTGAACATCCACAATTATATCGTTTGCATCATCTTTCTCTTTTACTTATCGCTTTTATATTTATGCTTATTATTTGAATTAATCTATTTATTCTTTACTTGTTTGAATTTAGATTAATTCTTCGAAAAAGTTTTAAAAACTAATACACTCCCCTCTTGGTTAGTTATTTTTGGACCATGAATAGTTTTTATTAGAGCAAGGTATTCAATTTTAAAGATTTCACAATCTTGAGTAATGACTAACCATATTTTTCAAAATCTTGAGGGGCATTCTACAAATGTCCTCCCTTCTTTGATGATACTTATTATAACTATTGGAAGGCTAGAATGATAATATTTATTCAATCAATAGATTATAATATTTGGGAAGTAATTGAAATTGGTCCATATGTGCCTAAAATGGTTATTAAAGATGATGGTAAATCGGATCAAATAATTTCTAAACCTAGGGAGGAATATAACGAAGAGGATAAAAGAANTGCTAGAAACAAAAATCTACTCTATTGTGCTTTAGATATAAATGAATTTAATCATATTAGTACATGTGATTCAGCTTATGATATTTGACATGCTTTAGAAATTACTCATGTCGGAACTAGCAAAATGAAAGAAACTAAGATCAATCTCTTAGTTAAAGATTTTGAAAAAAAACTCATGAAAGAGAATGAACCTATTGTTGACATGATTACTCGCTTCATCGATATTGTTAATGACATCAAAGACTTTGATCGTAAATTTACTAATGGTGAGCTTGTAAGTAAAATGCTTAGGTCACTCTCGGAAGAATGGAGCCCATTGAGAATGTTGATAGAAAACACCAAAAATATCAACAAATATCCATTAGAAGAGATGAGCTAAATCGCACCGAGACAAAAGAGAAAACAATGAAAAGTAAAGAAGAGGAAATGAACCAAATTGTTTTTAAATCCGTAGTTGATGAAGGCACTTCAAGCGAAAATATGAATGATGAAGAACTTGATGATCTAGTTCTTCTTGTTAAGAAATGTAAATGTTTTCACAAAAATCATCGATACCAAAAGAAATAAGAATGCGAAAAGAAGAATAGATCTATCGAAAAGAAAGCCCTTCAATCA